TGTGTCTTACTTCTCAAAGCCTCCTTCTTCCGTCACCACTCTCCATGAGCATGCTTCTGCATATCCTTGCACAACTGAACCTAAAAAAACTAAAATTTGCCTCTCCCAGGACTGAGTATAACAGGTTAGGCTTATTTTTATAATTTGAAAAAGACAGTGATACCATGGTTTCCTTTCTGGAAAACACTCTCAACAAGTGCGTTCTTTGAAGGAAAGAAGAGAAGGAAGGTCCTGTTGTCAGCACTCAAGCACTTTTGACCGCTTGCTTGCGAATCAGCAGGCAAGCTGGGTAGAGAGAGTAAGCAGAGTTCCCTTGCCCATATCTGGTGACAGATTCTGTAACATTTTTCAAAGTGGGAATAAAAGAGGCAGTCATAATACTTAAGCAAAATATACTCCTCCTAAACTGTAAAGTCCCAATGACCCTGCACACACATTCAATACTATTGTAAATAACTTTCCCACCGCCAGAGATGAACCCACTTAAACCAAATTTCAAAGTTCTCTGAATAATTTTTCCTCAAGCATCATTCATATGAATCCCCTCCTCAATGCCCAGACAGAAAAAGAGAAAGTGAGTGCATGGTGAGTAAATAAGACCGTAAACCGGGCTCACGCCTGTAATCCTAGCTATTCAGGAGGCAGAGATCAGGAGGACCATGGTTCAACAGGTTTTTGGTTTTTTTATTTCCTTTTCTTTTCTTTTTTGGAAGTACTGGGGTTTGAACTGAGGGCCTCATGGTTGCTAGGCAGGCACTCTACCACTCAAGCCACTTCACAAGCCCTGAGGACCACGGTTCAAAGGCAACCCAAGACCCTAACTCAAAAACACCCAACACAGAAAATGGCTGGTGGAAGGGCTCAAGGTGTAGACCCTGAGTTCAAACCTCAGTACAGAACAAAAAAAGAGGCTATAATGAGATTTCAGTTTATAATGCATCAAACTGACTCCTAATTTTAGACCAAGGACAGTAGGTTGCTACTGTTGGTGCCTAAAAGATGTCCTTTTGTCCAATGCGGAAAGCTGCCTGAAATGCTTCTGAAATTTCTCCCTACTTACCACATGGGGGATAGGAGAAACATGCTTCCAGATCACGAAGGCTGGCTCCTCACTTGATTGTGCAATCCTACATTTTACAAGCCTTTTTGCTTCCTTGTAAATACTCGTGTAAAGCTGGCTACTAACTTCTTGGCATGTTTCAGAAAGGGACATAACCATCCACAGTCACCCTCTAATAATGGGTCTCTCCTCCTGACATCCTGACACTTAGTGATTTGACACCTCGCTACGGTTATCACAAAACCACAGACTTGTTCAGTTACAAATAGCTGTCAAGAGAGCTTGGGGCTGGGGGAGGCACTACTTTTGATCCTGTCCTAATCTCAAACTGTTCATAACAGGCTTCATAATCTTTGAGACAATTAGTCATCCTGTGTTCTACTCCCGCCTCTTAGGATTCAAAATGATGCTCTTCCAAAGGCTTGCTGTGTTCTCTGAGCTAAGAGTGTCCAGCAAGTGAGTGGGGTTAGAAACTTTCTTTTATTCCCACATCTACTTGCACATTTAGAGCGAAATAAAAGCAGCCATCTTTCCTGGGACACTTAATCAGGGCTTCTCTAATATGCATCTCCACACAGGACCTTCACCTCATTAAACTCAGAAAAGTTTACCCATATTCCTCTTCTACCTAAGGCAGTTGTTTGGTATTTGAATTCATAATCTTACAGAAAGAACTAGCAATTGAGTTAGACACATCCTCAGGCCATCTCAATAAGTCTATTTAATGCACAATATACCTCAAACCTATCAAGAATTGTGAGCGTAATTAGTTCAACTGCAACCAGCACTTTCCTAGCCCCGCTGCCATGGGAACTACACTCTAGGCATGAGGGGAGCTATGGACGAATGGGGGTGGGCCACCCTTTGCAGGCTGCCTCAGTGCCCCCAGCCTGCTCCCATCCATGTGTGAGTACTGGGCAGGAAGTTCCTTTTTTTTTTAGTGGGACTGGGGTTTGAACTCAGGGCTTCAGTCTTGCAAAGGAGGTACTCTACCACTTGCTCTGGTTATTTTGGAGATGAGGAGGGTCTCTTGAAATATTTTCCCAGGCTGGCTTCAAACCATGATCCAATCTCAGCCTCCCAAGTAGCTAGAATTACAGGCGTGAGGCATCGGTGCTCAGCTGGCAGTAAGTTCTTGTTAATTTAAATTTTGTTAACCATTTACACATTAAAAAGCACCTACTCAGTGCTCAGGACTTGAGGCTGCAGTGAATAAGATACACTCTGCCCACAGCATGCACTCAGTGGGTAAGGGAGACTCACCAGGGGCTGTGGTGTCATGCAGCACCTAGACACCAGATCCAGGACACTACACTGAACCTGCATTAGGTTGTCCCTAGCATGAGGGACAACCTGTGGCATGGCCTAGATACACTGGAGTAGGGACAAAGGCAAGACACATCATCACCAAAGCCTGGGGCATATTCACATCCAAAACCAACAGGAACCACTTCAGACAACTTTGTTCTCACTGGTAGAGAACACTCCTTTACCTATTCAAAAATAAAGCCTTTTTTTTTTTTTTTGGAGTGGGGGGTGGATGTATGGGAGGGAAGGGAGTGAGTTTCTTTCTGAAAGCCTTTGAAAGATCATAAAACAGTAGGAGCCAAAACAACTCAGGCATCACCTCTGGCTAGGTGAGAAAGGCAGGTAGTCCAGGCCTGCCTTCCTCTCTGACACCTCCCGGGACACTGCTTCTGAGCTTTAAAACCCTTCCGAGGTGGCCTGGAGAGGACCTGCATTTTCTGCCGAGAAACAGCAGTTTGGGGAGGTGGACAGAGGTCTCCCGCCCAGCAGGTGGCAGCTAAGGGGCTGGAATCCAAATCTCAGGATTGATGACCTAATACCTTTTCCACTGCATCAAGCGGCTTTCCTGATGCAAAGCAAGACTTTCAAACGCTCTTTCCTTCCCCATGTGCGGCCTCAAACCAGTGCAGCTCAACTACAAAGACACCTTGCAAAGAGGGCTCCGCTCTGTGAAGAGCATGAATTTTTCTAAGACACCCAAATGTCACTGCTCTAAGACACTGGGCATTGAATGCTGGCGGCAAAGACCACGCACACCTTCAAATAACAAGCTCATTACCACAGAATAAGCTGAGAAACGGACATAAGAAGCCCAGCTGGAAACAACGGTTTTAAACACAGTCCACTGGAACACCTAGGGTTTTTCCTAAGAGGTTCTTGCTTTAAAACTCTCCTGTGGCTGGGGTGTCACGCAGTAGTAGAGCACATGCGCAGCAAGGACCTGGGTTTCATCCTCGGCACCAAAAAACAACACCAAACGAAAACCCCTCCTGCCACCGAGTTGGAAATTTAATTTCTATGTTAAAATTTCCCTAATCACATGGCCCTAGAAGTGATTGATAAGGCTGAAATAACAGATACAGCAAATGTCTCCACCACAAACAGAAGCCACACCTTCTTAAAGTGTCTAGGTAGTGGTTCAAATAGTAGAGCACCTGCCTAGCACACACAAGGCCCTGAGTTCAAACCCCAGTACCATAACCAAACAAACAAACTAAAATCCCAACTTTAAAAAGTGTCCAGAGTCCATGAAAAATGGACTCTGTATCAAGCCACCAAAAATAGAAATAAACAACAGACACCCCACCTCCTCCCCCAAACCAGAAATTCAACAGGCCATATCCTTTAACTCTAATGCAATAAAGTTAGGACGCACATTAAACAAAAACATACTGTTTCCATTTGTCACCAGGAACATATTCAATCACACACACACACACACACACACACACACTGAGAACAAAAAGAGGGAAGAAAATTTGGTGTGATTAAAATTTATTTACAGTAAGCAAAGAGATGTCTTAATGAATAGTTTTTTAAAAAGACTACAGAATATGTACTAATAGTGCTCACGGACAGCGCCCAAGAAAAGGAGTACCAGTCACTAATCATGAAAGGGTAGGGGTCCTGGCAAACAGTGTCCCCACCCCCATTCCGGCATCATCATTTCTTATCATGGTGAGGACAATCATCAACTTTCTTTTTTATATTCTGGTATGAAAGTCATTTTCACGAGAAGATCCATAACTGTCTTGTTCATAACTGGCACAGTACCCCTAGCAGTTATTCAGTCAATATGCACAGAATGAGTAAGTTATATGTCTATACGTGGATATATGTTATATGTATGTATACACACACATATGGTTTGCCTAAATAATTATCTAAGCACAATGGAATATTATACAAACATTTAAAATGATGAAACAGAAATACATTTTATTCACATGGAGGGCTTTTACTTAAGTACCAGTTAAGTAGCAAGTTAAAAAAGTCTATATAAAGGAAACATGTTTTCTTTCTCACCTACACATAAAATTTTAAAACTGCTTTACCAGTTTGACAAACATAAGTTAGTTAAAAAACTATTTTATGATTATGGCTCGTTTCATATGTTTAGGATGTGGGAAAAGAGAGAGAAACATTTTTTCTACTGTCAGTGAACATACTTTTACTTCCAAGCTGTATAGGATTTCAGGAGGCCCACTGACAAAATCTTGTCTTACACAGACCATAACTACAAGAATGTTTATCATCTGGTTGTTTCTTGGGGCCCTCCCTGCCCTGCCTGATGGCAGTTCTGAGACTGACCTACTATGTCAACAGCCATCTGCTTAATCAAATCAAAATGAAAAGAGCTAAGAGAACTGTTTTACTACTCATTGTTCAGAACCTATGCAACTGTAAAGTTACAGGATCTCCTTTGAAATGAACGAAACCAGCCTGCCATAAAGAAATGAAGTTCCCTGGGAACTGAAAAGTGAATCCATCCACATTTACCTCACTTTCCAAGCTCTGAAAATGCACTTAACATTACACAAGTAATCACTAATCCCCCAACTGCTGGTCTGTAATGCAACAGAAGGAAGCACTGAAAACATTCCAGTCTGGAGAGTAAATCAATCCAATTTACCTGTGGTGACAACGCCTTGGTTCCGAGCTTGTCTTGCCACAAAGTGTCACTTCACCGAGAAGGGAGGGCCTTTAACTTCAGCCTTGGCAGTAGGAAGTAAAGGAGGAAGTGATTACGATATGTTCTCTGGATCCCCCCCAACTCTCCACCACCTTGGGAAAGTCACTGTGACCCTGTTGCTTGCAACAAAGAGTGTCACAGGGTCGTGACCAGAAAGCTCTGTGCCCATCCTCCCAAGCAGCCCTAGGAGGAGGGGACCTCTCTGGTTTTCTTAGGAGGGTGAGGGTTGGTGGCAGGGGTTGAAGTGGGTGTGTAGCCTCAAGAACCCTGTACTGCGCCTGTGAAGCCTAAGACATTATACAACCGTGAATTTCTCTTGGGAGGAATCTTGACATTTGTGGCAAACATTCTCTCTTTTAAATTAAAATTTAAAAAATAAAAAATAAAGAGGCTTAGGGGAAAGCAGACACGTGGAGTTGTCCCCGTTTAGTCGGAGGTGGGTTTAGAGGGAGAACTGACCCTTCTGACTTGCCCTAGCACTCCGGGGTACCCCTGTCCCCTCACTGCACCGCGCAGAGGTCACTTGGGCACCAAGGGCCTGCGCAGGATTCACCCTACCCGGTGGATCCTGTCTTGGACGCCGGAGAACGAACACCGTGCTCAGGCGCAAAGTGGGAACTGTTCCTCAAAACTGCTCTGCATCTGGTGACACTAACCCGAGCGTGAGTCTCTCCGTCCGACAGCACCCGCCGGGCTCACTGACCCTACAGTGGGTCTGTTGGGGCCTCAGGTTACTTCGCCTCCAGGATCCCTGCGGGTCTCAGGAAACGCCCCCGGTCGGTGACACCCAGATTCCACCGCGCCGTAAGGACGCGCCCCGGTGTCCCGATCGGTGGGCCCTCCCTCTCGGGAACACCTGAAGGACCCGGCGTCGCTGCGGTTCCCAGCCCCGACTTCTGCGAAGCCCCCAGCCCCAGCGACAGCTACGGACGCCAGTATTCTGAGCCGAGTCCCGGCGCTCGGAGGAAGACAGCAAGGGACAGCCCCGTGGGCCCTGGGCGACCCGCACGAGGTCTCAGCGTGCGCCCTCGTCCCTTGTCCCCGGGTCTCCAGCTCCGCGCCCCCGGGCCGTGCGCATGCGCTGCCTGGCCCCTCCTCTCTCGGTCCACCGCCCTCTGTCCCGAGGGCAGGGGACGCCAGGCCCCGGACCCCCTCGCGCGCGCGTGCTCGCCCGCCCCCGGGCACCTGGGGCCGCGGTCCTCCGCCTGCCGGTCCGCTGGGCGAGCGCGCCGAGGGAGGCGGCGCCAGGAGGGCCGCTACCTCCGCCCCCGCCGCCCCGCCGCCCCAGCCGTGGGGCCGCAGCGTCCCCGGCCCCTGCCCGGCGCCGCCTCCGCGCGCCGGTGCCAGCCGCGTCCCCACGACTCGCGCCGCCCCTCGGCCGTTCCCCGTCGGGTCCCGTGGTGCGGTGACCGCCCCGGAAGCCCCGCCCCCTAGCTCCAACCGAGGCCCCTGGGCGGGACACACCCCTCGGGCGGCGCCGCCCGATTGGCTGCTGCGGGGCGGGGGCGGGGCCGAGGCGAATGGGTGCAGTTCTCCCCTGCGCTCGCTTAGTGGACTGCGGCATGGGGGGTGGGGGAAACTGAGGCTGGAGAGGCGAATGAATTGTCCAAGGTCACCCGGCGCCGCGATAGGACGCTGCGTGTGGCCGGGCACAGACGCCCTCCCGGCCGCGCTCACCCGGAGGGCTGAAGTTTAAGGCCGGGGACGCGAGGCCGCGGGACGGGTAGAGGTGGCCCTGCCACGCTGGCGAGGCCTTCCTCCCTCGGTGAGCTGGTCTAGACCGCGGAGCGGGTGCCTTCGAGTCTCGGAAGTGCGAGGGGACCGGGCTGGTGGGACCTTTTGTCTCTGGAACCCCGGGATGCAAAATTGGGAGAAAGGGAGAGCGAGCTGGGAGCGCGCGTCAACAGGTGGCGGAGGTGCCAGAGTGGGTGTGGCGGGCGAGGAAAGAGAATGCTGAAGGGCAACGGGGACGGGCGCGGGGAGGCGCAGCCAGCTCCGACCCTCTGCCCCCGCCCGCCCCTGGCGGCCCCGGAGCCTTGCCGCCCCTCTGCGTGCGCACGGGGTGCGGGGCTGACCGTGTGCCGGGCTGAGGCGCTGGGACTCTGCCAGCGCGGGGGAGGTCGCGGCCCCCGGCAGCCAATGGCTGGAGAAGGCGAGAGCGCTGCAAAGCGCCTTTGTTTGAGCCGCCGCTGGAGCTCCCTGCGCGGAAGGCACACAGCCCCGCGGTGCCAGCGCATCAGGGCACCCTCCTTTGGGAACGAAATGTGTGCTATGCCAGCCCTCCCGTCTGTCCTCACGTTGAGTCTGCCGCTGTACTATTTGTGGCCACAAGCGCCTGGAGAACCTTCCCCCAGAAGGAAACTTCAAACACACATCTCTACGTTGCTCAGGGAACTGAGACCAGGCCATACTCGGACCTGTCGCAGACTTCTTTTCATTCGCCCCTGCAGATTAGCCTCGTACCCGTAGTGAACTTTGCCCCACTCGCCAGACACCCACATAATCGTCCCACTTGCCCACTGGCAAGCACAGCTTTTATTGCGCACGCTAGTTAGCAATAACTGATAGTTGTTTTGTTTCAGACTTCACGACGTGATCTGTAAATATATCCTGCCTATCTCATAGTGGGCAGGCTGCAGCGCATTGCTATTCATCCAGCTGGTGGTAGTAGTGTGCTAGGTGTCCTGGCCGTAGCCAGAGGCTGCCCACAGGGGCTGCATTCTCTGAGAACATCCAGACTCAAAGATGTTACCTGACCTGCCCCAGGTCACAGGCTCCAAGGACCCAGATTCCAAATGCAGGTGTGTTGACTTCTTTTCCCAGATGGTCTGCCATAAACCCAGTACAATCAGGCAGTTGGAAAGATATGGCAAAAGAGGAGCAAGGATGTGTAAGGGTCAACAGAGTAGTTGTGCACACTCAGTGGACACAGAAAAATATTTTGGTGTTCTTGGGGCTCCCAGGGATTTAGGGAGAGAATTTTTTTTGGGAGGGGTAGACTGGGGTTTGAACTCAGGCTTAATGCTTGCAAAGCAGGCACTCTACCTCTTGAGCCACACCTCCATTCCATGCTGCTCTGGTTATTTTGGAGTGGGCTCTCTGGAAGTATCTGCCTTGGTTGGCCTCAAACCTCAATCCTCCTGATCTTAGATTCCTAAGTAGCTGTGATTACAAGCATGATCCACTGGCACCTGACTAAGACATGTCCCTCTCATGGACATCTTGAAGATAGAGGAAAACTCAGGACTTTTCTAGTGGCGTGTTCTGGCCAGAAATGACTCACTGTAGGCTACCCCAGGAGGCAGTGGCTTTCTTTTGGAAAACCACTTTCAGAAGAGAGAGGTAAAAGGTCTTGTCACGCACCCAGCATGAAAGAAGCTGTCACAAAGGGCACCCTGCTCCAGGACACCTCTCCATCCTTCTCTCATTGCCTCCTTCAGTGTTGATGGGTCGGGGCCCACAGCAGATCAGAGGTGCTCAGTTATAGATTGAGTACAAGTCTATAACTCTGAAGACAAACCAGTTCTTGAAAATGTTTCTGGGCACCACCAGTCCCCCAGTGGTGTCATAGCAACTACTGGGAGCTTTAGGGCATGTGTACCTTAGTTCACAGCTGCTCCTTTCTCAGGGCCCTTTTCATGTTTTCAGACCTTTAAGATGTTCTGAGAGGTAATTATTATGTTCACATTACAGTAAAGCAGCCGGGCACAGAGGGACCTCAGCTGCACCAAGTCACACAGGCCTGTTGCAGGCCCCGGACAGAAGGCAAGTCTGTAACGTTGCATCTGCCACACTGAACCACTGCTGCACACGCCCACCTGCCCATCCAGCCAGAGTAGCCAGGACAATCAGGGGGCCGAGTACGTGGAGGAGGCCACCTGTACTGATCAGACCTGCCACTTATCAGGCAGTGGGTTAGACCACAGATGTGGGAAGCAGGTATTACCAGTTATCTGTGTTTAGGGAATATGTGAGAGTGACTTGCCCTGTCCACGCCCCCACCCTGGTAAAGCTTCTCCCATGGGTTTGGGGTTCAGGCCTAGCTATCTGTTTACCTTGCAGCTTAGGTAAGCCCTTTCCAGGAACTGTCCAAGGCCTCTGAGGGTCACTGGCTTGCTCGCTGGTGATTTGCAAAGCCTGTCGGGTTGAAGTTTGTGTGTCCCAAGTGTCATCAGTCAGGACAGTGGCCTCTGATCTCCTGGAAGCAGGCTCTCGGGTCAGGTGGTAGAAGTCCACTGGGGCAGGAGAACTAGGTATTTGCTGATGGGAAATAGGGAGCTACTGGTGTCTGAGGCTGGACCTAGAGGGGGCCAACCTGGAGCACATGTTCAGCTGCCACCCAGGTACTGGCATCAAACCCTCAGATTCCAGGTAAACAGTGTTTTCATGTTAAAGCTTAAACCCACAGTAGCCCAGAAAGGCAACAAGGTCTTCCCCCAAATTACATGTAAATGAGAAAATTAAGAGCCTTAGTCTCCTAGTGGAAGTGGGAACCCCTATGACAGCTGGCTGGACAGGAGCCACCTGCTGGCCTGACACCTCAGCCTCTGGCAGACACAGAAGCATGGTGTTCAGGTCAGTCCTGGCCCTGCTGCTCCAGGGAGTAGCAGCCGTACATTCAAGGGCTGTGGCCATGCTGAAGGCGAGAGAGGGTAGAAATGGTACAAGGTGGGCAGAGGTGAGCAGGCCCTGGCCAGACAGGGTCTTGTGCCTATGGGGGAGTCAGTCTGTGTTCCCAGGACTGTGGCAAGGCTTCTGTGGGCTGGTGGACTCCGTCAGATCAGTAGCAAACGATAAGAGCTCTGTGTTAACCTATGATTGTTACCCAGCAGTCCAGTGAAGCTTTGCGTTTACTGTAGGTTTGTAGAGTCTGGAACCTTCTACAGGCCCAGAAACTGCTGCTATGGTAGACACACTACCCTTTTGATAATTAACCTGACCCCAGCCAAAGTTTACAGACTGGCTTTGCTCACCATGGGTCAGATGTCTATCTTGGGAATGCCAAGACCCACTCACAGCCCCACTCCCTCTCCACCCTTCTCTCTTCCCAAGGGACAGATACCCTCCTATCTGGCACACACTACTGAGTTCTCAGTGGCTGAGGCTCTGGGGACTGGGTCATGGTCATGCAGCCCAGAGCATGGACTTGGAGCTTCCAGACCAGTGTGACCTGGAAAGGACCATGGGAGTCTCACGTGAAGCACGATGTGTAGATAGATTTGGTCCCTGAAGGATGTTTGCTCTGACCTGAGCAGAGGGCCTGCCCGTGAGCTACACTGCTGTGGGTGGGCAGGGATGGGGGAGTGCAGAGGTTAGGCATACAGTGGTCCCTCTATCCACTGCTCCGCCTCCTGTCGCTTCAGGTACCTGCGATCAACCCGGGTCTGAAAATATGAAGTGAAACATCACAGAAATAGTTCATCGTTTCAAATAACTTTTATTATGGTGTATTGCTCAAATTGTTCTATTTTGTTATTAGTTGTTTTTAATCTCTTATTGTGCCTAATTTATGAATTAAATTTTATCATAGGTGTTCGTGAGTAGGGAAAAAACAGTATCTGTGTGGCTCAGTTGCTGAGTCTGAAGCATCCTCTGGGGGCTTGGAACAGATGCCACACAGATGAAGGGGACAGACTGCACATTCAAGTACATATACATGGCACTGCCTCTGCTTCTTTCACACCCCATTCCTCTTACAAAATTAACAGGCAGGGCCTGGAATTTGGACTTGAACAGAACTGGATTCAGATCTTGACTCTATCTTCTAGTTACTCTACAACCTCGAGCATTTGACTTGACTCCAACCTCAGCCTCTTCCTCTACCAAACAGGGCACAGTGCCTGCCTTGTAGAAATATAGGGTGGATCATATTCCTAATGTGCTGACCACTGGCCTGAGGTCTTTCCCAAGGTTGCCTGTCCTACCTACCCTACTGCCACAGCCTCCCTCTGCCCCACGTCGCCCCTCCTGCTGTGTACTGCGCAGCTCTCGTGGTACCATCTCTAGATGTCTCACCACCCAGCACAGCTGATATGGAGCCTTCCCTCCCTGCAGACACCAGCCATGTACCTGTTCTTTACTCCCTCCCGTGACCCTCTGTTCCACTCTGTCTGCCTTTTACAGAAGAATCCTGCCAGCCAGCCCAGGTGGTTTGCACCTGAGCCCAGAGCAGCCTGCAGGCCCTGGGCTCTGCATGAACTCCCTGGAAGGGACAGGCATGTTCAATGAGGTTTTCTGGGTCTGCAGCAAAGTGGAGAGTTTTCTAGAAAGCAGCATCTAGCTGATTTAAACAACTACCCCTTTTTTTCCTGAGTGTCCGTCCTTTATAGTTG